CGGACCGATGGCTTCCCACCCTATATCGTTTCGCCTCGATTTGGACGCTTGCCAATTATCCCATCGTAATGTCCACGATGTGACGTACCGTTGAAACACGCATCCCCCGTTTTCCGCGCCCGCAAAGAGAGCGCACCAACGAGCGCCTAATGAAGAGAAACGATCCGATCGACAGCGTCGACCGATGCATATGACTCTATTTCCGGGTATTCTGGGATGATTCGCGATAATCCCCGCGAGTCCCGGAAGAGAATATTCACGTGAACCGGGGGAGGGTAGGAGATCTGTACCTGGTTTTCGAGGCTCGCCTTTAGGGATTTCAATGAAATTCGATATGCGCTAATTATGCAGTTTACGACGAAAGTGGGTACGAGACAATAAATGTTGCAACGCGCAAATAACGCGCGAAATGTTGGGAATGATATTAATCTATCGGAATATTCCTTAAGTAGGTACTTGCGTAACCGCGGAGACTTAAAGAGTGATTGCTCGTGAAACATGTAACCAGTGAATCGATACGAAATTACTGGGTGAGATTATAGATTTCAGAAAGCAACGCGAAACGCTTTACAATTTTAATGTAATATCTGTTAAATATCGAGTTAATATTAATTAATTGCTTCACTTAACCTTCTCGTTACCACTCAAGTATACAAGACCGAGGGGTAAACCGCTGACCAAAATCATGTAGACATTAATGCCCACTAATGCCCAGTGCAGGGTCGGCTGGAAAAATCCAGGGGGTGGAGAAAACCATGGTAAATTCCAGTTTTTACCGCCCCGGACTTTATCCAATGGAATAAATTGGCAAAAATTATAAAAATAACTAATACTTAATTAAAATATATATCTATAAATATTAGTCATTTTTATAGTCTTTATGAAAAAAAGATGTTTGTTTCCAATACTAAATCATATGAATTACTATTTTTAAAAGAAATCAATATAATAAGTTTTTAATTAAAAAAAATGTTTTATTGAAATTAATAGATATTTTCAAAATTCCGAGAGCTTCGAAGATACTAAATTTTATATTAATTTTTAGTTTATGCGGGAAACAATACTTTTCTGCAGTGCTTTCTACAAGTCTTCTACTTATCTTATCGTTTTTAATAGGAGAGACCAGTTTTTGTCGGTTTTTTCCACATGGAATTTATCAAAAAAATGTGGAATTTTGCTAACCCTGGCCCAGTGGACAATACTTTCTCTTATTATTTTATTTTATCTTTTTTAATATTGTTTTAACTTTTTTTATCTTTTTAGATTCTTTCGAGGGGTAAACCGCTGAGGGCATTGCGGTGCACAGATTTGCGGCATTACACGGAGTGAATTTTCCTTTAAAATTTACCCTGAAAATCATGTAATCGTGGGACATGGCATTTTGAACAACTTTATGAGTTTTTTGAAATTTTACCATACATTTTACTAGTAATTACACTTAGTACACATTTTACTAGTAAAATGTATGGTAAAATTTCAAAGAACATAAAGTTCTTCAAAATGCCATGTTGTCCCACGATTACACAATTTTCAGGATAAATTTTAAGAGAAAATTCTCTCCGTGTTGGCATCACTGGGCATTTTTTGGGCATTAGACCTTGCATTATAAAGATAAAATAAGATAAAACAAGATAAATAAGCTAAAATGAGGTAATAAGCTAAAGTAATGCCCACTGGGCACTAGTAGTTGGTGTACACGATTTCGGCCAGCGGTTGATCCCTCGGATTCTTTAAAATGCCCCAGCAAGGCGAAATGACACCCACTAATGTCCAAAAAATGCCTAGTAATGCCCGAAATCCGTACACCACAATGCCCTCAGCGGTTTACCCTTCGCAAGTCACGCTTACAAAATTCAAAAAGACTCGATGGTCTAACACATATTCTGTTACTGAAAAAAACATTATACAACAAACATCGTTAAAACGTGTTCCAATATTTTAATACTTTCGCGCAAACTTCGTCGTTATGACTTGCATTATTTCACCCTTGTTTATCCGTTCTTTGGCTGTACGTATAAATGCATTCTGTATTTTTACGTTCCGATCTGGTGCACGCATTCGTTGGAATAAACACTTTTCCCATTATTGATTAAAACATTCGTTTCGAGATGCGCACATCCGAGCGAGTTTTTTTCCGCTCGACAAAAAGTGAAAAAATTTGAATAGAGAGACCTTTAACGGTCAAGCTGGGTCTTCGTGCCTAACTTTATTTTTCGTATACACCTTTTTCTCACCACAGCGCGAACCGCGCGTCATATAGAATTTTCAGTCTTGAAACGTAGCCTTGAGTTAGATTCGATGTAGCATACTCGAGGGTGAAACCGCTGGCGAAAATCTTGTATACCAATGGCCCTCTAATGCCCAGTGGGCATTACTTTATCTTCTTTTATATTATTTATCTTGTTTTATCTTATTTTATCTTCACAGTTGAAAAATGTGTGGTAAATTTAACAGATATATCACATGTTCCAAACGGTCCACACAACATTTTGGTGTTAATTTAACATAATATGGATATGTTAAATGATCACACTAATAATCTGTAAATATTTTAACACGAAATAAATGCAAATCTCAAAATAATTTGAAATGCATTTTGTGTAAAATTAACATATTTTTAATGACAAAATGAATTTTAAAAATGCAACTTTTACATTTTACAGATGTAATAAGTGAAATGACGGTTCGAACTCACATATCACTTATGTTGTATATAGAATAAAATCAGCATTTTATTCTGTAAATTTTAACAGATAAATCTTGTTACTGATAATATAAAACATATGTATTGTGTAAGTTTAAAAAATAAGTACACATTGTGTTGTTTTAACATTTCTTTTCAAGTATTTTAATAATTTTACATTTGAGGGGTCAATTAACACGAGAGCAGTATGTAAAATTAACACATGAGTGCGTGAAACATTTAACACAAAAATTTTAATCGGCATTTTCTTTAACGAGAAAACACAAATTTTCCAACTGCGTTATTATATCTTTATAATGCCCCAGCAAGGTCTAATGCCTAAACTAGTGCCCACAAAATGCCTAGTAATGCCCAGTAATGTCGCAAATCTGTACACCACAATGCCGTCAGCGGTTTACCCCTCGAGTATATGGCACTTATTGTTAGTCAAATTGACAATCAATTCAATAATGACGTTAATTACGCACTCCTCAGAAATAGTCTATAAATAATTTGATCTTGTGAAATCGAAAGGGTCCAACATTTTCTACGAAAGTTGGCACACGTCCCGACGAATCCGCCATTTTGAATTCCTAAAATTTGAATCTAGTGACACAATAAGAAATACATTGACTTCCATCGAAATTGATGAATTTCTGCCTATTTCGGGGTTGATACCTTGACGTCTCTCGCGCGTCGTGCGCGGAACGTCAGGCTAAGGTAACTCGAGAGCACCGGGAGCGTTTTTGACAGGGTAGACCGCGTGCACGGGCGGTTTTCTGGAATCGATCCAAGCCGCGGGTACCGTCGCTGCGACCGAGCGTCCAAAAGATCCACGGGCGCGATATGGAGACGCGGTTTCAACCCCTCGCATCCGGCAGTGCCCAATCCCGATCGCGTACGAGAAACGCGACCGAGTGCGAACGACACGTGGGGCAGATGCGCGTATCTCGAAACGAATGCTATAATCGATAATGGGAAGAGCGTTTGTTCCTACAAATGCGTGTATCCGATACGAGTCGGGAACGTGAGGCCACAGAATGCAATTTATATACGTCCGAAAAGTACGGACCAAGCGAGTCGTAACGACAAAGTTTGCGCCGAAGTATCGGACTACTCGAATATGTTTCTGTGAAGATGACGTTCGTCGCGCAGTTTCTTTTCCCTCCCGCGTTTCGCAAATCTTCAGAGAGTAAATCCGAGTCTCTCGTCACGTTGCGTCCAATTTCCAAACGATGCGGTAATCATCGTGACAGCATCGTCTCGGAAAGGATGGAATACGCATTTGTCATGCATCCACTCCCTCTCCCCCCCCTCTCTCTCTCTCTCTCTCTCTGTCTCTCTTCGGCTCTTTTTCTCTCGTTTCGAACACGATACGTTCGAAGTGTGTCCTTAATGCGGTCATTAGGCGACATTAATCCAGTGCCACGGTACGACGAAACATGAAAAGATACTATCGATTATATAATAATCCATTGGATTCATCAATATTTCATTAATGTGCCAGGCACTCGCTACGTCAAAAACCTTGTTATTTTCTAGATATCCGAAAAAAAAGAAACACATCGATTGGTCCAATTTGTCACTAAACAGACTCGAGCGAGAAAGAGCACGTTCGCAGGGATAATTTTGTAGAAATTACATCAAATTGCGTATTTATTATTTATACCGTGTCCCACTTTGTGCATATTACTTTTGGATGACACGTTCTCTTCGATCAACTTGAATTTCCCTTCGGAGAAGTATCGAAGCGTCAACAATTTTTGAGTTACGAGTAAGTTGAAGCAGGAAGCTTACTCAAGAATTAAACTTTAGAGAATCAAAGGAGAATTCAGCCAATTAGATGCCGATGGAATTTTAATCCAATTCTCAATCATACAAAAATACGCGGCGCTGAAGATTCGAAGCCTCCCTTGAACTTCTCGCCAAGGAGACTGCAAAATTGATCGAGGGGCATATAATTGAGGAAGAATGCGCGAGAAACGGGCCAGTTTGCGTAAAATTGTTAACAAATACTCTATTGAAATCCTTCCAGAATCGCAATCGCGCGGCGAAGACGCGCACGTCGAGACAATCGTTAGGATCTTTTCGCACAGACTCTTGTTTCGGTACGCAAGTAGCCGAAATCCAGACGCTGAAAGGGTAAAAACTCGGAGTATACAGGATTAAACGGCTCGTGTCCCGTTCAATGCCGATACTCGCGAATGACAGCGCGCAGATGAACAAGAGAGAGAGAGAGAGAAGAAAGCCGCACAGGGGTAGCGAGAGAATATCCGCTCCGCTCCGCGGAGTGGAGCAGAGCGAAACGGAGTCTTACCTGAAAGTCGCAGTAGATAATTTCGTTGTCGTCGAACAGTCGAATAGTGGCGCGATGCACCACCGTCACGTCGCTCTTGCTGCCGAATTTCAACATTTCTGCCCTCAAGTCGCCACCCAAATTATCCCCCCGGCCGTCATCGTCCCTTCCCCCACAGCACCACACACTGCCCGTTTATTAATCGCGGCACGCGCCGCCGTCGTCGTCGTCGTCGACGCCGGTCGTCGTTGTCGTCGTCGTCGCCGCCGCCGCCGCTGACGCGCGACCGTACTCGGTATTAATCGGCGAGCTGACACGGCACGGCGCGACGGCACGGTTGCACAGCGGTGAACGTCGACACATCACCGTGGCGGAGGTACGCGAAGCCGTCTGTCAACCAGTCCGTTTCGCTGGCGCTGTGCTGCGCCGCCGCCGCGGCCAACGCGACGCTGCCACGTCTCCTCGCCGCTCGCCGCGCTCGCCGCCGCCGCCGCCGCCGCCGCCGGCCGAGCGCGCGCCGTTGCCGCTGCCCGTCTCCGTCTTCGCCAAGTGTCATGGCGCCGACACCCGCGCCGGCTTTCGATTTGCCTTTGCCCGCGAACCGAGTGGCTCGTTTGGTAAGCGAGATACCGCCTCTTAAGCATATACATATTAATATACTTCCACGATACCGATACGTCCTATTCTACGTATCAGAGGGTCCATTCTGTATCTTGCAACATAGTGAAAAGGCTCAAAAGGCTTTGTCTCTTTTCGAGCAAGAAACAAGGGTGCTTACTTTTAGCATTTTTACTGTAGTGTAAGATACAGAATTGACTACCTGTATTGTACACACGGCGTCGTTAATGCCTAGCCATCTCAAGTTGCACGCGGATCGAGGTACATACGTTTGAAAAGCGTGCGACTTTTTAATAGCGAATTCGCTTGGTTGCACTAGTGCGCACCGAGTGCACGGTAAGCCACAACGTTTACACCGATCATTTTTTGACTAAATACTCTTTCAACATATATTTAAGACAAAGTTAAATATAAGAGCTGACTATAAACAAGCCTTAGTGCGCACTCAGTGCGCAAGCAACCGAGTTCGCTATGACTCTTCGTGCATCATGACATTGGCTGTGTTCTCCAGAAGTTAGCGCTTAATAAGCGCTTTATGCTGATTGGATAGATCTAGAAGAATAGCTCTATTTCAGCACAGATCTGAAAGTATAATCCAATGAACGCAAAGCGCTTAGCAAGCGCTAACTTCTGCTGGACACAGGCATTGAAACTGGCAATGTCGATTCGCTATAGTCATGATGCACGAAGAGTTAGAAAGTCGCACGCTTTTAAAAATGCCCCGATCCGCGTGCAACTTTAGATGGCTAGGATGCCACGTAAGTTGCTTATCGTAGGTACACATTACCAGTACACCATACTAGTACGCGGTGCAGCCACCGTAACGTTACTGTACATACACTTGATGTAGCGTTATGATAAAATAATTTGAAGTATAAGAGCATCGAACAAAAATTACATATTTTACGTTTGAAAATAATTAAAAATTCAATGTCGCACATGTATTTTTATCTATATGTATAAATTCCATAAAAAATACATACATATATAAATTGGTGGTATTAATAAATCACCGATAAATGCTAATTAAAGCACTCGATTCAATATTTCGTGTATTATTTTGCGTTTTCAACTTAGGAACAGCCAACAAATTATATTCGAAGCAACGAGAGATTCAATGCGATACAAGATGTGTCCGAATACGAGCATCGATTAAAGCAGCAATTATCGTCCGTAATTATCGCAATAAAAAAGTAATTTCAAGTTTGCTAACGCTCTGATTCTTGGATGTATTGTAGATCTCGTGTAAATCGCGTTGATTCCAAGGGTGAATCGGAGTGGTTGCACTAACCTATTACCATAGGAAGTGGATCACCGACCGCAGCTGTTGCCAATCCTGGAAAAAATAGAAAAACTCGTTATACAGGATGAGTCGTAAAAGCTGTCCCAACCCTTTACCATAAAAGGTGAATTACCGGCCGCAACTGTAGTCAATTGGGAAAAAGTAGATTAAGTCTCATTCTACATGTCTCAATTATGTAATATCTAATTACGTTTCTTGAGGAATAATTAGATATTACATGATTGAGACACGTAGAACGAGATTTTATCCATTTTTTCCCGAGTTGGGCTACAGTTGCGATCGGTAATTCATTTCTTATGGTAAAAGGTTGAGACAGCCTTTACGACTCACCCTGTATATGTCTCTATCATGTAATATCTAATTGTATCTTAAGAAATATAATTAGATAATACATGATTTAAACATACATAACGAGATTTTTCCATTTTTTCCAGGACTTACTACAGTTCGGTCGGTAACCCAGCTCTCATGGTAAAAAAACTGGTTCACGAAATAAATAAACTCACCCTGTATATATTTTTGTTCAGACTCGCACCAAGGAGCAAAGTGTATCGGTAATCGAAGCATAGAAGTGATGGCTTGACCCGGACCTTTGGTGATCGACATGTTTGGTTATCGAGGTATGATTGAAAAACTTTTTAAGTTATTTTACTTACAGTCGGCAATGCATAATGTACATTCTGTCATATTACCAATGTTTTTTATACATACATGCCGACATATGGTGCACAAAATGTTATCATGAATCGAGTCATTAGCCGTTGATGTGCTTCCGTCAACTTACGACCTCTTTATATTAACTTTCATTATAATTTTCAAAATATCTCGTACCTTCTAGCGAAACATCCTCACATACTGCGATAAATAAGAAAATTTAGAAGTATATTTAAAAACGTAAAAACTTGTTCTTCAGAGTACAATTTACGGAAAAGTTCAATAGTACGAACGCAGGTACGTAATCGGCTCACTTCTCAGACGACGACATTTTTTTATCTAAAGGTTTTATCGCAAAGTAGTTGGTGTAGCCACAGACGAGCACGGCAAGAGGAATATGCTGGAAAATGAGTTTTTGCGAGTTCTCGTTTTGTAACAAATCTTGCAGAATGCATTGCGGATTATTATCGACTCGTTATTTATCAAGAAAACAAAGACGATGTACGATGTCACCGATGTACTAAGAGATAAAAACGTTTGAGGATAAGAATTTTACGTATAAATTTCATACACAGAGTATTCTTTGTCGCGCGCGCGCATTTCAATGACAAGTGTTACTTTCTATCGAACCACTGCTCAATCACGTGTTTAATCGTGACCAATAGAGGACAAACAATCGGAGTAAGACCTGCTCGCTCTCTCTCTCTCTCTCTCTTTCGCGCGCGCGAGAATCGTCGACGCGGGGGCGGAAAAGCTGCGTTTCGATCACCGGCCGACGAGCCGCGATTCCGCCTCCGCAAAGTCGCACAAAGAACTAATACAGAGGTCCGCGCATCCGGACTAATTGGCGGCTGCAATCTCCCGTTCGCGATATAAACGCGCGATGAATATTCGCATTGAATTTATAAACGGCCCCGGTTATTCCCGCGCGGCAATCAATTCGCGGTAATTATACGCGGGCGCGTTACAGAGCGCGCGCGCGGGCCCGCGTTGCCGCCGTCCACCTCCCTCGCGCGCACGCGAGAGGGCTTTTGAACTCTCGCGTTCGACGCCGCGTATCGCGCTCTCTCCCGTCGCGCGTTATGCAGATTATCGTTAAAAACGTTTAAACCGCGTTAACGCTGCCGCTCGACGCGCGGCGATCGTTTATCGCATCATTCTCGCGACGGCGAAACCTCACGCGCCCGCCGGTTTTTTTTATCCGTCCAGATCGAAGCGCGGGGTAGCCGTGTTTTTCAATTCGACCCGGCGCTGTCCCCTCCCCCTCCTCGCCCGCCGCCCTCTCGCCGCTCCGTTGCGCGCGAGGTGATTACGAAATTACACGAGTGCGTGCATCGCATTTCGATTAAAACGAAAACGCCGTCCCTCCCACGGGGAAAATCGTCGACGAGCGTCCGACGTTCGCGCGTCGGACGATAATAACGTCGTGTCCGCGAAAGCCGCGCGATCGATATTCTTGTTGGCGATAAATACGTCGCGTCGGACCCCGCGTATCTTCGCGCATACTTGCCGTATTTATTATATCCGCGCGCTAAATCGCGATACGCGCTCGCGAATGAGGAACGACGAGCCGGGACGAAAATTACGCGCCGCCTCGTATATCTCGCCGCGGGGAAGCCGCGCCGCCGTTGATACCCGATGGACGCCCGCGCGCGATCGTGTGCTTTATAAAAAGGATATTTGGCCGCTCTCCCGCGGCCCAAATTGCGAACGCGGTATGCATCATTAATCGCGCGTTTTCTCGCGCAGTTGTAGATTTTTTCCGGGGAGCTTTATGTTAATTTCGCCCGCAGTGAAAAAGTTGGGAGACTTAATAACAAAGTTATGTAATATTCCCGGCGTATTACGTATTCAAGGGGGTAACAAATCGATCCGAAAAAAATACCCTTCAAAAATCTTTAATGGACTTCATGCCGGTTAATGGAGTTTTAATACAAGCTTCGATTACTCTCGGATGCTTAACGTCGAAAGTTCCAAGGCTGCGATCAATGCCAGTTCTTCGAATCGTGCACTTTTTATGCCCCCAGAAAAAGATTTATTTAGGTTAAACAAATGAGATACGGGTTGAAATCACGTTTCATTGAATCTACTAAAGTTTTATTTACTTCTGCTAAAACATTTGCCAGATTTGAAGAAACAGATATGAATTCTCTTAGAAGTTCCAGTCTCAGGCAGATAAAATTTTGGTCAAGGTAAAGAAATCTTCTTTTCTTTTAAATTAAATAAAACTCTAGCAAGGTCAAAATCGAGGAGTACACCAACACCTCTAATGCCCAGTGAGCATTACTTTATCTTTATAATGTCCCACCAAGGCTTAATGCCCAAAGAATGCCCAGTAATGTCCAGTGATGCCGCAGGTCTGTATACCACAATACCCTCAGCGGTTTACCCCTCGGTTCAAATTCGAAGAAAGTTTGTTTGATTTCAAAGAAATTTTCTTCTGCGTGTGAATACTCCCCCTTGATTATTTTAAGCACTGCAGCTAACAATTTGATTGTGTTATTAAAATGAATCGCATCGGCTTTCCTTTCTCGCATTACATTTCGACAGAAAAGGATCGACATTAGTTGATACAGAAGTGAAGTTAACGAGCTTTACGTTGATAAAAATGGTTATCCACGCATCGGCCATTAGAGATAACGATCCCGATATTAACTGCGACTAGCACTTGGGATCGTTGGCGATATCTCGCGGCGATTCTCGGGGGGCGAAATTGGCGACGGTGGGGATATCGAGCGCGGAGGAGCCCTTTCATTGTCACCGACGCGAGATCTCGGATTTCGCGTTCTTATCCTCGGACACGAGCGGCGAAAACTTTCCAAGATAAACTCCCGGGCTCCCGAAAACGTTTCCGGCTTTTCC